ACCGATTCCCGTGACACAATAAAAGAGAGATAATCCGAACGCTCAGTGCCACTCTTTGTTTCCCGATAACTTCCCGGATTCCCGATTGAACCCTCCCGTCTACCGACTTTAATTTCCGAGGAGCTACCGGTCCCGTCGGATTCACGTGTCTCGGCCATTTGGTGGTTTTTCGTTGGTGTTGGTGATCGGTGCAGCCCGCTGCACCTGGCGCCCGACAACTTGGTGAGAGCACGCACGGCCGGGGCGCGTGGGCCGACGGCAATTTGACGACGGCGAAAAGAAATCACGTCGCAAGGCAATGGAAATTCATTCTGAGATGGTAAATGTGTTACGGGAATCTGCTCCTTCAAAAACAATGGTTTGTAAATGGACACTTGAGTTTCAACGTGGTCGTACAAGCATTGAAGATGATCCACGCAGTGGACGTCCAAAAAGCGCATCAACACCAGAAATCATTGAGCAAATACATGTTATTGTTTCTGAAGATCCAAGTGTGACTACGCGTGAAATTGTTCATACCATAGGCATTTCAGATGAACGCGTACGGCATATTTTGCATAAAGAATTACAAATGAAAAAGGTGTTTGGAAAAGTGGTGCCGCATACGTTAACAATTCAACAAAAGCTCGCTCGAAAGCAAATTTCTCAGCATCATTTGGATCGTTTTAAGAAGAATAAAACCGATTTTGTGCGTCGTTTTATAACTATGGATGAGACTTGGGTTTATCACCATGATCCTAAATTGAAACTGGAACGTTTACAGTGGACTGAAGCTGAATGTTCAGCTCCAAAGCAAGCAAAGCATGAGAGATCGGCAAAAAAGGTTTTGGCATCAGTTTCTTGCGATGTTAAAGGGATTTTGTTAATTGACTACCTGGAAAAAGGTAAAACAATTAACCCTGAATATTATTGTAACCTTCTGAATCAATTGGACGCAAAAATTCGTGAAAAAAGACCTGGTTTGCAGCACAAACTAATCATTTTTCACCATGACAACGCACCGGCTCACACCTCCGCCCTCGCCACGGTCAAATTGGTCGAATTGGGCTACGAACTGCTGCCCCATCCACCGTATTCTCCAGATTTGGCCCCGTGCGACTTCTTTTTGTTTCCAAACTTGAAAAAGTCACTCGCCGGGCAGAAATTTGAGTCGAATGAGGAGGTCATCGCCGCCACGGAGGCCTACTTTGCAGACCTCGAGAAAACGTATTTTTCAGACGGGTTAAAGAAGTTGGAGCATCGCTGGGTCAAGTGTATCGAGCTAAAAGGAGACTATGTTGAGAAATAAATCGCCACTTTTCCAAAATTTTCGTTTTTCTTTTGTAGGCTAAGTACTTATCGGACCACCCTCGTATATCGCTCGGCGAAGACAGAGGCAACAGACGTCGTTTGCTCTTGTTTAAAGCCCGACGCTGGCCGAAGCACCGAACGCTCACGGACACGGAGTCGCTCGTTGGGTGCGCTACCCCTCACGCGCTGTGCTATGCTACCGGATTGCTTTTCTGGTATCACTGGGTGCCAACGCTTCCTATAGTAGTCTACGGCTGTAGTATGCGATAACAACCACGGAAACACGTCTAAACGAGTCCCATGGCAGAAACGCGTTTGAACGAGTCTTGACGACGTATGTGCAGAGATAGCAGTTTTCTGCCTAGCGGCTCCGCAGCTCTGGTGTAAGGGAAACGTAACAAACGAAAGTCGCGTACTTGTACGCGACTTTCGTTTGTTACGTTTCCCTTACATCGTGAGCCGCGAAGTCGCTAGACAGAAAACTGCTACCTCTGCATGCGCGTCGAATCATTTCGAGCGCGAGACGTGCAATAACTTAAAGAGAGTGCAACGTTGCTTTATATTGCCTTTGCGCTCATTATTTTCTACGCTGTTCCACGCAACAATTCGGCAATCACACAAAAATTAAACAAAAGTATTTCATCTTACTTGCTAATTGCGAATGTACGTATTATTTATTTAATTTATGTATTATGTGTTTAATGTATTAATATTATATTATGCATTGTTCCAGTAATACTATTAGAGTGCAATTACTATTAGAGTTGTAAATACTATTAGAGTGCAAAGAAAATATGTTGTCCAGTAAGGAATCGATGTATGGTTATGAGGGAGGAAATACTAATAGAACTCTTTAGGACTATTTTATGAAAGGTGATAATGCCGAAAATGCCCAATGCTTGCTGTGTTCTGCCGTTTTGAAATTAAGTCAACGATCAGGAAAAGGTTTAGTGATACCTAAAAAGCAAACATTGTATAGATTTAAAATCGCAATCATCAACATCGAAATAGGATTCATGTAATATATGAAATAGCATCACAATCGCAAGTTGCCGACAATTGTGAAGACTTAATACCAAAGAAAAAGGCTAAAACAATTGACAACTTTTTAGTTAAGGAAAATTCCATGGAAAAAATGATATCTCGAATGATTGCTAAAGACGGTTTTACTTTTAATACTTTCTGTAAATCTATAGACTTAAGAAATTTATTTCTGAAGAGTGGCTTCAAAATTCCAACTTCTCTTAATACAATAATACAATAAGATCTAATACAATAAGATCTATAGTTATTACATTTGCAAATTTTATAAAAGCTAATATAATAAATAGATTTACAAATCTTCAAGAACAAAACCAAAAATTTTCAGTGACATTTGATGAATGGACATCTCTCAAAAATAAGAGATACTTAAATATAAATGTTATTATTATATCATTATAAAGAGAAACACTTCAATCTTGGTTTAATTCTGTCATGCCCGAGTGAGCCTGACGAACTATCCATAATTAATATACATTAATTATATGGGCGAAAGTGTCATGCGAAGCATTTCCGCCTGCGCCGCACGTGTTGCAAGCTAAGCATCACGCCACACAGCGGAAGTTCAAAAAAGGCAATAGGCAAAGAATGCACTGTCTGCATGGACGAAGGTCGCAAGTGGCGCGATGTTTCCGCTAAATTTGCAAGATTCCTTCGGCGACGAGTCTATAAATCGACTGCCGTCACCGAAGGAAGACAGAGCCAGACCACCGGCCGACCGAACCAGACGTATCTATCTCTAAGACTACATTTGTAACGCGCTAGCAGAGGGCCAAGTCAATAATAATATAATATACAATAATAAAATAAGACTCCTTTCTTAAAATAAAACTACGTTTTTAGTGAAACTTCCTCCGCCACATTGTCTCGTTAAACGATCCCGCAACAGTTCGAATCTATGGTTCATGTATGGCAGAGCATTGCGTCAATATAGTTGAAGAACATCTGAAGAGCTTCAATCTAGATATTAAAAATGATCTAAAATCTGAAGAGCTAAAATCTAGATATTATTTGTATAATAACTGATGGAGCGAGTATGATGAGAAAAGTTGGTGACCTTATGCCTTGTTATCAACAACTTTGTTATGTACATGGCATACAACTTGCCGTTATTGACGTTTTATATAAAAAAAAATGCGGAACAAGAAATATCAGAACAAATGCTATTCAATATGTTTGACGATGAGAACAACGACGACGAAGATGAAGAGAGTGGCTTGTCAGTAACTTCGAGTCTTTCATTTGTAGAAATAGTTTCAAATTATAAAGATTTGATTACAAAAGTGAGGAACGCTATGCGCATACATGCACACAGTACTGCTAACATTATCTACCTGTAAACGACGGAAACTTATTCAAGTACCTAATAGTTAGTAGTAATAATAGTAACAGTGTCGCTTCAGTCCTCTTCTGTTGTTAAATGTTGCTTTATCTGTAAACAGAACGTGCGTAAAGAAAGATGGGTCCGTCAGATATTGATTTCTAGCCCAGTTGCAAAATTGAAGTCTACGATTAAAGTCTTCAGCTTGGAGCTGCTGTGTTAAAGTAATGTGGTAGGGGTGGAATTTCTCAAATCTCAATATTCGCCTTATCGTGCTTTGTGGGATCCCATATAGTACATAATATTATAGCAATATCACAATAATATTACTTCTCCATTGCAATATTACAACGTAATATAGTAGAAATATTACTTCATTATTACAGTAATATCACAGTAATATTAAAATGTCCGCCGAAATGCATCATAGTAATAGTATGGTGACATATTATTGTGATAATATTGTGATAATATATCATAGTAATATTGTCACAGTGATATATAACAATAATATTATTGTAATACTATAAAATTATAGAATACTCTTACAGAAAATATGCTCAAATTTGAATGTATATTTGAGAATAAATTCGAACAATTGAGTGTCAATATTTGAATGTTCTTTTTTCATAAGAGTTAATTTTATGTTAGTTAATCTAATATTAGATTTAAAATGTTATCGTTGAAATGTTATGTTTATTAATTCATTTTTACCTCCTGTAAGCAATTCAGTTTTCTGTGATGTATTTACATCTTTTAATTCGGACTTTTCTGCCTTTATTGTAAAATTTTACAACTACTATATCTCGAAAACTAAATATTTTAGAAAAAAATGTTTTAGAAAAAAGTTGTATAGTTTCAAGAGGGACATAGAATAACTATATCATTTTGTTTATAGATGATTCCACTTTCGAAATATTCACTGATTATTACTTTTCTTAAATGGAAACCTCATTTTTTTATCATATCTTCTTTTTCTATCAATTAATATGACAACTTTTATTTAAAACATTTTTTTATTTGCCTAATATTTTTTTTAATACTTAAGAAAAACTTAGTAATTTTTTCAATATTTACAATACTTACAATATCTCGCTAACTATTTGTTGAAACAAAAAATAGTGTCAGATACTTTTACTCTATTTACTCTTTCTTGTCTGAAATGTTTCTTGATATCTTTCATATTTTTAGAGATTTCTGTGCTTATATGCAATCCGTGTACTACATATTTCATTTTAAAAAGATAGCTTTTTATAAATTTGATATTAATAAAACACGTATATTTTATTTCCTCTAACATGAAGTTTATAAAAATATTTTTAAATAAATATATAAATAACTTTTTTAGGAGACGAAGTTATTTATTTGGATCCTCATACTACACAAAGATCAGGCAACGTTGGGAACAAAACTAATGAAGAAGAAATTGAGATGGATGCTACATATCACTGCAAATTAGCTAACCGTACTCCTATTACAGGAATGGATCCTTCTGTGGCTCTTGTTAGTACAGTTTATAATGTTTATTATTACCTCATAGTAAATTAAAAATATAAGACATATTATATAATACACGTTATATAATAACAGTATTAACCTCACATATAACATACAGTATAATTTGGGTCTGTGAGAGGAAAAATTTGAACAGCCACATCTTTGTTGGCATTTAATATTTTTGGATACATGTTTCTTAAAGATATAGAAAAACTTCACTTCACACTAAAGTATAGTGCAGTAAAAAATCTGCAAAGGATCTGTATTATTTTGAAATCAATGGTTTATGAAGTGATTGTTTACGAAATGACGAAAATAAATTTTTTTATTTTATAGAATATTTTATAAAAGGAATTAAGGAGGAATTAAGTTATGTAATTAAGTATTTAATTAAATTATTTAAATAAAATCAACGGAGGTTTACTGAGAATAAATGAAACTTCTTGAGAAAGAAATCAATCGTAAAATATGAAATATTTATTAATACTTTGCAAAAAAATTTGTTACATATTTTCAAAATATTGATTCTTTCACCAAATGTGTCTTTATATTTTCGTTAATAATGACGTGATTAAAAATGAATATGTATGAGATTTCCTTAAATATATGTGAAAATTTCATCTTTTTGAAAATATTATTAGAAAATTGCGATGTTGTGAATGTAAGAGGTAAAATTTTAATAATATAGTAGAATTATTTCTGATACTTTTCATTACAATTTAAAAACAAATTAGAAGAGACATGTATCAATTGAATTATTATTAGAGAAAATACTTTTATATATTTCATGAAATATATTTATATAGGGTATATAAAAAGTCCCGGAACTCTTAAATATTTCAGAGGGGTTACATTTTAGAAAGAAATGTTAAATATGAGTGTTACAGGGTTACAGGGTTACAGGGTCAAGATAAGTCAGGGTGTTGGGGAAGGTCTGGGTTGCTGGAAAGGGAATATTGGCGCAGTTTCCCCAGCTCCCTCACTCCGGCCCACCTAGTAGACACCGCGGGGGGTTTTTAGCCGGTAAGAGTTCGGCATAACACTCCCTCCCCCCAAGGGGCTAGGAGTATCCATAAAGATTTCCTCCTCGTGATAAAAAAAAGGGTTTTAAATGGTCTAACTATTATTAGTCTTATCAGTTTGACCTTGAGTGGTGTTGCCAAAGTCAGGTCAAGGTCAACTTAATTTTTTTAAGTGGAAACCGATTTTTTATTATATCATTTTTTTCTATCAATTAATTTTAATAACTTGTTTGAAATATTTTTTTATTTTTTATTGCCTAATATTTTTTGAGATATTTAAGGAAAACTCGGTAATTTTTTATTCTTAGACCTTTTTATTCTATTTGGTCTCAAGAATATATTGTTACAATAATGCTTTACCTTTTGTTAACTTATCGACTTTTGGAAATTTCAAAATCATTAAATTAACAAAAGTCAAGGCGCTATTGATGCAATATATTCTTGAGACCAAATAGAGTAATCTAGTACTATTTATTTCTTCCGACAGATAGTTAGCGAGATATCGTAAGTTAAATATTGGAAAAGTTACCGAGTTTTTCTTAAATATCTCAAAAATATTAGGTAAATAAAATAATGTTTCAGACAAAAGTTGTTAAAATTAATTGGTAGAAAAAGATGATGTAATAAAAGTAGTATAACAAGGCGGACTTTAACCCAAATTGCAAAATATTTATGCAAAATCTACTGTTTATTAATTAAATATTTTTATTAATAAACCCCTTTCCCAGAATTTCTTGCTTCTATGGGTAAGATGGCAGCCGTGACGTCATACATATATCCAGAGAAAAATATGCCGGGATGTTGCTAGACTCGAATCTGGGCCCTCGTGGTTACTATCCAACGTTCCAACCTCTTAGACCACCGTTGCCTGTTGCTAGTAAACGTCTAGTAAAGGTTTTCAAAGTATGTATGAAGACGTCACGGATACGTCAAAAGAAAAGAATAAGTCGAGACCGAGCCAGACTCGAATCTGGACCCTTCATTTACTACGCAATGGTCTTACCATCTAGACTACCGTAGACTCTTGTTAGGGAGTGTGCAGTAAAGCTTCTCAACTATGTATTACAATAACTATGTATTACAATAACATTACAAAGTATGTATTACAATAACGGATAGAGTGGGAGGGACATAGTCCTCATCTGCAGTTTTTCAGCGACTGTTATCAAAACGTATATTGAACCATTATTGAACATCAATCGAACGTTTACTGTACCATATCGAACCACTATTAAACATCTCTTTTCTTCTTTTTTTATGACGGTGGGGAAATCCTCATGGATATCCGCGCCACTTGGGGGGATGGCGGGGGTTATGCCGGACTCTTACCGGCTAAAACCCCAACGGGATGTCTACCGTTCGGGCCGTTGTGTGCAGAGTCAAGGGAACTACGCCTGCATTCCCTCCCCAACACCCCGGCCTCAGCGCTCTCCGGGAGCTCCTCGCCTCGAGTATCGCACCTTATCCCACTCAGGGAGTCCAGGGCGCGGTCCCCCGACCGGTTTCCCGGCCGGGTTGGCCTTCTGGTTTTAACTTGGTGGGAGGGGACATCCATCCTCTCTCCTAGCCCCCTTGTTCATCAAGGAATGCGGTGGAGTGGGGTCCATTCCAAAACGGGCTTCCACTCCCCCTTTACCATTTCCTACCAACGCCCGGCGGGAAGCGGGTGGGTTTTACACCCCCCCGCGCGTTCGAAGGCGGGCCTGAGGCGGCCGAGGATGTCCCCGAGGGATCGAGGGCGGCTCTTCGGCCAGCGCCACCTCGGACCCGCTTCCTAATTCGGGGGAGCGCCGCCGGCGTCGCCGCTCTCTGCGGCGGTCGCCAGGACGGCGCTCCCATTCGGCGGCTTCCTTCTTGGATATTACGTCCCTACAGAAGGAGGCCGCCGCCCCCCATACCTCCTCGCTCCCGCACATGGCACGAACTATGTGCGGAAGCGAGAGGGCTTCCACGCCGCACCCTACCGCTCGGACGAGGACACGGCGCTGCTGGTCCCATGCTTGGCATGTTACCAGCATATGTTGCACCGTGTCCTCAGGCTCCGGGCAGTGGTGGTATCTGGTGGTGGACTCCTTTCCGGTGCAGGTACCGACCGAAACATCCATGTCCGGTCATCTGCACTAGATGGAAGGATAGTCCCCGTCCCCGCCTGTCTGCCACTTCGAGCAGATAGGGGCGGACGGCCTCGGCCATTCGGAGCTCGAATCCGCGGAGATCGCCCAATACGACCGACCATCGCTCTAGGACCCGGGCTCTGGCCTGGGACTTCAGGGCCGCCAGGCCCCTGGACCCTTAGTCCCTTCCCCTCCTTGCGGAGCTCACGCACCCTCCAGTAAAGGGTGTGCCTCTCCTGAGCGAGGAGCTCCACGGGGAGGGGGGCCAGGGTGCTCGCCGCCATGTACGACACGGTGCCGTACCCCCTGATCGCCCTCATCACCACCGACCGCATCACCTGGCGTATGAGACGCTTGCTGCGGTCGGTGGCCATAAATTAGGGCGCCCATATGGGCGTCCCATAGAGGGCGATCGAGAGCACGACATCAACGTACAGGCGGCGAGCCCTCCATCCTGGGCCTCCTGGATTCGCATTAGGCTGGCAAGAGACAAACCTGTTTTGCGGACTCGGGGGGCCAGCTGCCTGAAGTGCGGCCCAAAGTTCCAACGGCCATCCAACGTCAGGCCCAGATACTTGATAGTGAGCCCGACGTGGACGGGGACTCCATCTACCAGGACCCGGGACTCCGTTGGCACCCCACGGCTGCCATCATGAAAAAATACGGTCTCTGTTTTATGGGGAGCCACCTTAAGTCTCAAGTCCTTGATTGTGCCCACCATCGATGTAAGTGCCGCCTTCGTACAGAGGCGGGCTTCCCCTCAGCTCTTCCCCCAGCCACCACTAACGTGTCATCTGCATAACAGATGACGTGGCAGTCGGGAGGGAAATGAGAGCGAAGCACCCTGTCGAACGCGATGTCCCATAGCAGTCGAGAACCGACCCCTGCGGAACATCGCGTTCCATGGTGCGTCGGCCTTGGACCTCGCCTCTCCCCGTAAAGTAGGCGAGGTCCCTGCCTCCAAAGTAGGTCGAAAGGATGCGCCAGAGGTAGACGGGCACCTCGTGGTGCTCGAGGGCACGTCCAACCTCCGGCCAGGGCAGGGTGTTAAAGGTATTCGTTATATCTAACAATACTATCAATAATACCCCGCCCTCCCCCTCCACGACCGTGCGGGTCAGGTCCCGGACGTGCTGGATGGCGTCCAGCGTTGAACGTCCAGACCTGGACCCATATTGACAGTCGTGGAGGTTCGGCTCCTCCGAGGACAGGCGATAATGCGTTCAAGCATCTTACTCGCCTCGTCCAGCAGGCATATTGGCCTGTAGGCCGACGCACTCCCGAGTACTATGCCCTCCTTTGAGAAAAGGACCAGTTTGGCCCTTTTCCACTCAAGGGAGGATACTCCTTCCTTGCACCCGTTGCTTTCCGCGTGGCCGCGGACAAGTTCCTCTCGCTGAGGGCGAGAGTCTAGGTGCGGCCAGGAATACGGTCAGGATCAGGGGCTTTGCCCTTGGCTCCGAGTCTCTTCCTAGCCTTGGCGAACTCCTTTGGAGTGACCTCCAGGTCCTCGTTCCAATCCCCGTCCCGTAGCTCAGGGACGGGCATCCGGGAGGGGGGGGCCTCCACTCACGGGAAAAGAGTGTCAAGGAGCCCTTCGAGGACTTGATGGTCCGAAGCCTCCGTTGACGAGGACGCCCACGGACGAATCTTTCCGACTGTCCGCTTATAAGGGCGCCCCCAAGGATCTTCATCCAGGGAGTCTACTAATTGCTCCCAGACTCTTTTCTTAGCCTCGGCAATGGCGGCCTTGAGGGCTTCTCTCGCTAGGAAGTAGACGTTTGATAGACGTTTGACAGTGGTTTGGTATGGTTTTGCCCCTGTGGCATCCCCGTCTTATCGCCGAGCCCGGATATTCGCCCGTCTGGCC